CATAAGTGCTTTCAATTTATCACATGTTACAAGTATAATTTAATCAAAACTAAAACACAGAAAGTGAAGGAATAAGGAAGTTCTCAAATACTTTGGATAGCATAACACAAGGGTTTACAGAGAGAAAATTCAAACTGATAAGTGCTTTCAATTTATCACATGTTACAAGGATAATTTAATCAAAACTAAAACACAGAAAGTGAAGGAATAAGGAAGTTCTCAAATACTTTGGATAGCATAACACAAGGGTTTACAGAGAGAAAATTCAAACTCATAAGTGCTTTCAATTTATCACATGGATAATTTAATCAAAACTAAAACACAGAAAGTGAAGGAGTAACAAACAGAAATAAAGTATGTATTAAAGAATGTCCAGTGTTATTCAGTGTTGGTGAAAGTTCTTTGTATGTATTAAAGAATGTCCAGTGTTATTCAGTGTTGGTGAAAGTTCTTTGTATATATTAAAGAATGTCCAGTGTTATTCAGTGTTGGTGAAAGTTCTTTGTATGTATTAAAGAATGTCCAGTGTTATTCAGTGTTGGTGAAAGTTCTTTGTATGTATTAAAGAATGTCCAGTGTTATTCAGTGTTGGCGAAAGTTCTTTGTATGTATTAAAGAATGTCCAGTGTTATTCAGTGTTGGTGAAAGTTCTTTGTATGTATTAAAGAATGTCCAGTGTTATTCAGTGTTGGTGAAAGTTCTTTGATGTGGAGAGTTTCTTTAATCAGTAGTTTAAGATCAATGATGGACTTGCAAAAGATACTGAAATTTGATAGGCTATGTCCCGTTTCATCACTATACTGGCATGTAGAGGAAAGGTTAAACAACTGCCAAGTTTTTTAAACTCTATTTGAAGAGGAAGTCATTTCGAGCTAGTGCTCTCTGTCAAATTGTGCAGCTTACAACAAAAGGTGCATGTGCAGAATTTAAAAACAATTGTGTGTATAGCATTTTGAATGTTGAAATTTCTCTGTAAAATTACATAAATATTACAAGTCAAGAAAATGTAACACAGATTGAAATTAAAATTCAAACAAAATATGGAAAACTGAGTATCTGTAGGAAAGAAAAGCATTCATCTAAACAAGATGGATGTAGGGTTCCCAGATTGTAGATTAATCTCCTCCCTAGTTGTTCTCTTTTGTGAATGTCTATTGGAACACTAATAAGTCCAAGAATCAAAAGGTCCTCAACTGTATGGTTGTTGATGGTGAAATGTTTGCCTATAGGTGTATCTTGGTTCCACAGTTTAATATGGTTTACATGTTCTAGTGCTCAATCACTGAGTCGGTGTCCTGTTTGTCCAATGTATAAACTATTGCATTTTATGCAAATTATACAGTAAATGATACATTCAGTGGTAGATGTAAAAGATTGTCTTGTTGCAAAGTTGTGTTTTTTCCTCATATATGTGTAGTGCTATTTATATGTGGACAGGTGACACACCTGTTTTATTTACATGTTTGAGTGTCTGGAGTATCTTGTTGTTTTTGTTTAAGGTTACTGTGCACCAGGATTTGTTTTAGGTTTTTGTCATGTCTGTAAGAAATAATGGATGAGTTCTTGAAAAGAGATTTAGAGGTAGGGTCTTCAATAAGTATTGTGTAATTATTAAGTATAATATCTTTGATCTTCTTATTTGTCTGATGGTATGTTAGCACAAGTGGAATATAACTGGTGTGTTCTTTCTTGGTAGGGTTGAACGTTTACTCCTGGATATATGAACTAGCTTTGATGGCTGCATCATGGATGAGAGAATCATGGTAGTGTCTTTTAGAAGAGAAAGTTTTCATGTCTTTGGATTTGATTTATAATCATTATCATCAGTACATAGCTTGCATAGTTGTAGAAATTGGTGAGTATGGTGTTGACTTTTTGTTACTGTACGGGTGGGAAAATTCAAAATGTAGGTATGTTTATGAATGTGTTTCTTTGTAATGTATACTAGTTATCATTGGGTCAGATGGTCATCTTGTATGTATATTTTCATGTCGAGAAAGGGGAGTGTTGTGTCAGATATCTCTCAAGTCAATTCTAAAGAAAGACGGAAAGAGGAAACATAGTGAAGAAAAGTTTCTAAATCTGATTATGGCATGCATGCAATCCCTATTATTTCATCAATGTAGCAACAATACACCATGGGTACTGATCCATTGTATTGATTAAACATATGAATTTCAGTGTATCCAACAGAGGGGTTGGCAAAGTTGGAGCCCATTATTCCATGGGTACTGATCCATTGTATTGATTAAACATATGAATTTAAGTGTATCCAACAGAGGGGTTGGCAAAGTTGGAGCCCATTTTATTACCTATAGCAAGTCTGTTTGTAGTAGTTACCATTAAAAGTAAAGACACTAAGTACGTGAAACATAGGTTATAAGAACACAGGTTATAAGATCTGTTTAATAAGCATGTTACAAGATTTCTTTTGTACATAAACAGGATAAAGTTGTCAAATTGTGTAAGGAATCCAGTAAATGTATTTTTTCTGTATATTGATGTACATTAATTTACACCCAGAACTTTCTCTCATACAAGATACTCTAAAATGTAATGGCTACTCACAACATATGTTACAAAACATTACTAATACATTCCTAACTAAGAAACTCGCAAATCCACCCAGACTACCAACTGTACCCAAACTTACTATATACTCTTGTCTTACATACATTTGTAAACAAAGCTTAACTTTAAAAAGTCAAATCAAATGCAAAATTCATTGTTACTACCCTCAAGTTGATTTCAGATTAGTTTTTAAACCCGCATACAGGATGTTTTCCATACTAAAGACCTTCTCCCAATTTCCCTTTGTTCATGGCTTGTCTATCTTTAGACGTGTGGAGACTGTAAGGCCTCATATATTGGCAAAAACCAAACACCATCTTCTAGTTAGAGCCAATGAACATATAGGAATTTCCATGAAAACACAAAAAAAAGTTGAGTACCCCTGTCCTTCCTCTATACGACAATATAGTGAAGAAACAGGTCACAAAGTTAACTTATCAAATTTCTATATCCTTTGTAAGGCAAACACTAACTTGGAATTATTTATTAATGAAATTATCCACATCAAACAAGTTTCATCAACACTGAATAACATGCAGTCTTCTTTTAAATTGTACATTTTTTGTTATTATTCAACAGTCTCCTATTCAGTATGAACATCCTTGAGAGGAAATCAAATAAGGAAATCACAGGGTGAATGCTATAGGACATTCTGTGTGATAAGAAAGAATCTCCTAATTATATTTTGCAGAAATATCTAGTGGAGATGGATACTGATCTATAAATAATCATTTATATGCTACAAGTTATCACACTATAAAAATGTTGCATTAAACACTGCTGTTGTTCTTGTTTAACTTGTAAAAAGAAAGAAACATTAATTACAATAAAATGTGCAATAACCAGTAAAACAGAAACTTACTGGCCCAACAGCATGTGAGACAGAAACGCTACATTGTTTTTTCCTGAACTTTCTGCACTTTCTCCTAGTCGACTGACCATAGCAGCATTTCCTGTTGAGGCTGCAAGCAAGAGCAGCCCTCCAAAGTCTTGGGCATGATGTAGACATTCTTGGGCAAGTAGAAACTGACACTGAGACAGGGCAAGTTCAGCAAGTTGTTTCCATTTTTGTTCACTCTATAAAAAAAAGTTTGCTTCCTTATTTGAAATATTCGAGATACATAAAACATATTAGAAGTTACAGTATGAAAACTATAAAGGTCAATTTGGGGTTACGAACTCAGCCGATTCGACTGAGTCATAGTGAGAGAGTTAATGGTATTTGATGAATCAATTGTGCTTCTAAAGTGTACTTTTAATTTTAATTTCTGTTATTCATTGGTTGAAGAACAATTCAGTCATAGAATGTTGCATCTCTTATCTTTTTTTGAAGCCCAAATTTTGCAAGCCTTCGGTAATCATTACATAACTTATATACAAAAAATCAGAATTTTTAACGAAGTATTTTCCCTAAAAATTTATCCATGAATATGTGGAGTCAGTGTTGACTGCTCTGAGATACTTTTCCTCACCTGAAAAATCTTAAAAGTTCATTTGCATAATCTACGAAAACTCCTAAACAAATTTCAAATGTTTTTTTTTCCAGTAAAATGTTATATTATTTCTGTTATTTTCTCTACCCTAACTCTATACAAGGTTGGTCAATTTGACCAACTTCATAACCAACAACAACAGAAGAAAATATCAAAATAAATCTAAGTTACCTTTTTTCTTGAATGACTTTATACTGTAACATGAAACTACATCTGTTTATCCTATATAGCTTTAAACTTGTAACAGTATATATCTGTTTATACTTAATTTTATTGCTTTATTACCCTTTGAACAGTGTCTAACTAATATTCCTTATAACTAATATTTGTTGAATGTGTAGCTCACATTACCCTATCGAACTACATAATGCATGGGCTACTCGCGAGCATACCCCTAAAACATTTTATTATTATTAAACTAATCTAAATTAAAAGTTTTTAATTTTTACATTTTAGTTACTTTTATAAAAGAATATAAAACAAGAAATAATGTACTTACCTTGTACTTTTTTTTTTGCTGTCAACTGTTAATATCAATGACACTTAACCCTACTTTCTTTTTTTTTGTATTCTAATAGTACTACTGCACTAAAGTTTTTAAATTTAAATAAGTAATGCAACAAAGAACACAGAATAATAACATACAAAAAGCATACAATGTCCCATAAGTATCATAACTTTTCTGGCTTTCTAACTATGTGACAAGAGCTGTTAAAAATTCTGCTAAACTTGTGAATGTGTTTCCCATGAGAATAGTTTGAACTGGAAGCAAAATAGGCAATTCTCTGTACAGAAAACAACATAATATAATACACCATTTGATAGTTTAAAACTGTGGATTTTTATTAGTTATAAATAAAATGGTATTAAACATCAGAGAGAATTATTGGCAATTTTTGAAGGGGAGGATATGACAGGTGAGCATGTCAAGAGGGGGTCCAGTTTTCTAGTTTATGGCTTTGAAAGCAAATAAGATTAAAGGTTAAAAAAACTATGCTTTGCCTGAGTGATGACAACATTATAATGAGTAATTTATGTTAAATTTTGTACTTATTGGAGGGGGTGGTAAATAAATTAAAGAAGAGAGGATGCCCAGGATGTTTCAAAGTATCAACTATTGTTTCTTTCTGGAGACAGTGTTGGGCTTGTTACTCTTCACAGATGTTTCTAGTCTTTACCAGTGTTCCTGTCTGGAAACAATGTTGGGCTTGTTACTCTTCACAGATGTTTCAAAGTATCAACTATTGTTTCTTTCTGGAGACAATGTTGGGCTTGTTACTATTCACAGATGTTTCTAGTCTTTATCAGTGTTCCTGTCTGGAAACAATATTGGGCTTGTTCTCTTCATGAGTAGTTCAAGGTGTCATGGCCTTACCAGTGTTCCCATTGAAGATCCTTCTATGATTGTGATTAAACCTTGGTTCCTCCAATGCTGAGTAGTGCCTTTTGTCTTACTGATGTGATGGGCCAGCTTCATGAAGTAGCTGCTTAGATTATTGTTTAGTCAGTAAAAGGTTGTGAACTGAATCCTATAGGACTGTTGGGGCCTGAAGAATAGCAGAAGATATTTATAACAATATTCAGAAGTATTCCTTACACTTACAGATAATACTTTCTTAATGTCAGGGAGGACCCATTCTTATTACCGGTATTTTCAAGTGTGACTATGACTGATTATTCTGTATTTGAGATACTTGTGTTCTGTAGGTTACAAATAGAGACATGTTGTCAAAGAAACTGGTTCATTAACACCTTCATTATGAGCATCTTTTTCTGTGCATGTCATGAGGTTTTAATGAGTTACATTTAAAATTTAATTAAAGTACTATGTTATCATGGTATGCGAATACACTTGGCTTAAAAATGTAGCTAACAATCCAAATTTTAATAATATATAAGTTTTAAGTTCTTAATTTTATAAGGCAATATTTAAAATAAATCCTCCTAACATGAGAATTGTGACATTTGCAGTTTGTGAAGAGTAACAAGCCCAACATTGTCTCCAGAAAGAAACAATAGTAGATAC